ATATATACATATACATATACATGTATATATGAGTTACGGATATACACACACACACACACACACATATATATATATGAGTTACGGATATACATATAACATTATACCTGAGCGCCTTCGGTCACATATGTCATCAGTTTGAATCGGCCATCTGGAGGAATGAACGAAAGTATATTCTCCTGCACAACAAGCATCAACAAACATACACAGGAGTCAGTGACCTCGAAGGTTGGATAACACTTAGTTGGGGAACATGGGTGCAAGACATCCGAAACCCTACAGCCCTTTTTTAAATGGACTGGATCAGTGTTGTAAGGTTTAGAGAGATTCATCAAAGCCATTTTGAGCGGCTACCCACACCTTCATACCTGATGTTAAATAGACAGATACGCTATACTACGTGTGATAGACATATATATTCGATCGCCAATATCTATCGATATATATATCTTAACATCTTTATATATATATATACATAGTTACACACAGGCATATATATTCAAAGTTTATACGTCCAAACACCCACGGAAATTGTCAATAACTATCAATATATACGTACACAAATCAGATCACACACATGCCTATATCTTCAATACATGTACATCCAAACACCCACGGGCTTGTCCCACTGTGTGACCCACCTGCTGCCATTTACGAATGCGCACACACGGGTGCAACGACACATCTGTCAACATGCGCGGGTGGTTGAAGGACATGATCAGATCAGGAACACCCTGTGCAGTTGAGAATGGGCAGAACATCGTAGATTTAGGTTTAGTATTGATACTAATAAGAGATGGATACAAACCTCCTGTAGCCTACATACATACATACACACATAAGTACATACATACATACATACATAAGTACATACATACATACGTAGAGCCCGTGTTTCTGTCAATCTCACACCCTCCCCTCTGGTAATTCTGGATAGGGCTGACCCATACCTCTGCAACCCCACACCCCTAAAACCGGCAAATGTGGGCGACTTACAGACAGCTGAGAGTTGCATTGGACTCGACCTCTGATTTCAATTCCAATTGGATTGCCATTTCGAGCGAGGGTGCAATCCACCTACGTAAATCAAACAGGACATATCGGGTGAGATGGTGTCCTTTTTCTTCTTCTTCAATTATTGGACCACCGATTGGGCCACAAATTGGTCAACCAATAGGAACGCTCGATTGCTCAGAGATAGGTGCTTACGCAGGTCCCAAAAGTATATATATATATATAGGCTCAGTGTATTGCAGATGATGGACTAACCTCCTCCACCACATCCACGTAGATGTCGTTTGTGGGGTACCACACATCGCTCTTGCGCCAGGGAATGTTCGATAGTTGGCTGCTAGGTAGTTGCTGGGACATACTGCAGGCAAAGAATAAACATTGATTAGAAACCGACTATAAATAGAATTGTAGCATCTTAAAAATAGAACTCTACAGTGTGCTTTCTGCTGTATA